AGATCGGCAAGTTTTTTTATCTTTGGTTGAACAACAAAAGGCACAACCATATCCGACTCCTCTAAGCGTGGCCGTTTGTCAGCGGGGTTTTCTTCAGAGCCGGCCTCAACCTCGGCAGGGCGTTTCTCTGCCCTTCGCTCAGTCTCCTAATTCGCCTCCACAACAGTCTCCGACTCTGTATTTCAGGTTTGAGCCGTCTCCTCCTCGATAACAAGCAGGGAGGGCTCAGCTTCGGCGGTAGGTCGCACTTCAGATCGAATGGCCTCTGCTCTCCGTCGCACGGCCATTCTTTCTGCATTTTTCTTTTTGGCGAGTTGTGTGAGTGACAACCCGGCCATGTCTTCGGGGTACGCGTCGGGAAGGTCTTCTAAACCAGTAAAAATGTCATCGAAAGGAAGGTCCCCTCGGCCCGAAGTGGATGGAGGGTTGGCTGAATTGAGACCGGCTTCCTCAAAGGCCAACTTCAAAGCCTCGTCTACTTCGGCTTCGAACTGGTCTGACTCTTCAGTGACCTCCTCAGCTACTTCCGTTCGCTCTGAGTCGGATCCGTCGAAACCAACTTGCCGCAAGTTTTTGAAGTTGGTTAAAACAAGAGCCGTAAGAAACTCTTTAACCCTCAGAATTGGGATGTTTTCTGCCGCCGAAAATGTCGTATACGTCGGCTCATATCGAAGGAGAATATGGGCCGCCCTCCCTTGTTTCTGAAGGCTTGGATGGCTGAAGTATTTGAGCACGACTTTAATTTCCATAAGAATGGCGTCGTCGATCGAAATCAAAACTTTCTTCAAATCGTTTCCTACGCAAGAAAAACCATGAGACTGCAAAAATAAAGCCTTGTAAATATAAGAAAAATAAACGCAAGGAGCTATATGGCCACCTGGTTCGCCGCTTCGTCTAGGAATAGGATCTAGGCGGTCCTCGCCTTCACCGAATTCCCAGTTACCTCGGACAACGACCATGACATCATCGACTCACTTGCCAGAGCTGGAAAGCATAGTCAGTAATTGATGATCGGTGTCCTTGGCCCTAAGGAAATAGCGTCCATGCCGGCCAGAAAACTTGGCCAAGACATAACAATGCCGAATAGCAGGTATGCCGAGGTTAATCCTAAGGCGACGGTTTAACTCTAAAATCCCCATTACGATTCTAAAAAAGTTGATATTGGGTTGGGAAGGGATTAGACCCCAATAGCGAAGGACAGCCCTAAAGAATGGGTGAAGCGGGAAATGGACTCCGCCCTCTGCAATTGATAAAAGATGGAAGACGATTGTGATTTCATCAGCCATCTCCATATCAAGGGTGTCACAGACGAACGTCATCAGGGATAGAAAAATGGCGTCAAAAACCAGAGACTCAATCCGCGGAGAGGAGGTCTTTCAAATGCTTTGCCATTTTTGTCAGCCTATAGAAGTATGCTAAACTAAAAACAAACCAGGAAAAGGGATTCAAAGCAGAGAGGAAGAGAACTTACAAGAGACGGAGAGGACAATAAAGGATAAAAGGAAGTTGCAGAGATGAGTCGGAAGGTAGTCCAAAAACTTCAAGCATCCAAAAATGTGTATGTATTCGAAAAGACGGCAAAGTTTTAAATCACAATAAGTGGAAGCGTACGAAGGGGCGGGAAGTTGAAATGATGACCGAAAGGCATGTGCTCTGACATCCGCGTTGGAATGAGGTTAGCCGCCAAATTTTGGCTCTGACGTTTCGAGTTCGAAACCAAACACACCAGCTAACTGTCGTTAGTGGAGTGTTTGGGGGGCAATTGTGGGGGCCGAATATCGGGAGATGTAAAGAGGCCGAATAGTTAGACCTGGAGAGTCGAAATTCACATATCGCATTCAGCCCCGTCTTATACATACAAATTCAGAGGTACCCTATTCGGCCAAATAACCAGTTGAGTAAGGAACGGGACACTCAAACCACGCTGAAATCGTGACAGGAGGTCCAACAACCCGCCCAGCGCGTCTACAACGCAACCTGGGATGAATTCCGAACACGCTGAAATCACGTAAGGAACGGGACACTCAAACCACGCTGAAATCGTGAGAGGAGGTTCGAAAATAACAACTCAAGTGCGCACACAACGCAACCTGAGATAAATTCCAAACACGCTGAAATCGCGTAAGGAACGGGACACTCAAGCCACGCTGAAATCGTGAGAGGAGGTCCACCAACTTGCCCAGCGCATATACAACGCAACCTGGGATAAATTCCGAACACGCTGAAATCGCGTAAGGAACGGGACATTCAAACCACGCTGAAATCGTGAGAAGAGGTCCGAAAACAACCGCTCAAGTGCGCGCACAACGCAACCTGAGATAAATTCCAAACACGCTGAAATCGCGTAAGGAACGGGACACTCCAACCACGCTGAAATTGTGAGAGCAGGTCCAACAACCCGTCCAACGCGTCTACAACACAACCTGGGATGAATTCTGAACACGCTGAAATCGCGTAAGGAACGGGACACTCAAACCACGCTGAAATCGTGAGAGGAGGTCCGAAAACAACAGCACAAGTGCGCGAACAACGCAACCTGAGATAAATTCCAAACACGCTGAAATCGCGTAAGGAACGGGACACTTAAACCACCCTGAAATCGTGAGCGGAGGTCCAACAACCCGCCCAGCGTGTCTACAACGAAACTTGGGATAAATTCCGAACACGCTGAAATCGCGTAAGGAAAGGGACACCCAAACCACGCTGAAATCGTGAAAGGAGCTCCGAAAACAACAGCTGAAGTGCGCGCACAATGCAACCTGAGAAAAATTCCTAACACGCTGAAATCGCGTAAGGAACGGGACACTTAAACCACGCTAAAATCGTGAGAGGAGGTCCAACATCCCGCCCAGCGCGTCTACAACGCAAACTGGGATAAATTTCGAACACGCTGAAATCGCATAAGGAACGGGACATTCAAACCATGCTGAAATCGTGAGTGGAGGTCCGAAAACAACCGCTAAAGTTCACGCACAACGTAACCTGAGATAAATTCCAAACACGCTGAAATCACGTAAGGAACGGGACACTCAATCCACGCTGAAATCGTGAGAGGAGGTCCAACAACCCGCCCAGCGCGTCTACAACGCAACCTGGAATGAATTCCAAACATGCTGAAATCACGTAAGGAATGAGACACTCAAAGCACGTTGAAATCGTGAGTGGAGGTTCGAAAACAACAACTCAAGTGCGCACACAACGCAACCTGAGATAAATTCAAAACACGCTGAAATCGCGTAAGGAACGGGACACTCAATGTGTTTTCTCGCTTAAATTTTGCTTCTGACAATGCTGTGGAAGAAAAGAAATTTGATATCCAGGTAGATAATTTAGTGGGCAGAAATGCAGAAATATTTCTGGGGAATAAGAGAGAGACACGCAAAGCAGCTATCAGAAATCATGATAGTGAGAACTTACAGATGACTATCCAGGTGCAGATGAATGAAGATACATCTCAAGTTGAAGAGGATCTGGTGGATACATGGACCGGGAAACAAATTGGAGAATGCATTCCACTTCTGAATGTTAATGACGAAGGCAAAATGCTGAACATAGAATGTGAAACTAAGGGAAGCGATCATGTAGATGGTGAAGAACAACAGAAGAGAAGATTAGTTAGGCCAATGCTAACAAACAAGTCAGATGCCAAAATGGATGATAATCAAATCGGGTTATCGCAAAATGACATAAAACCAGCTCTGATATACCCGACCATTAGTGATGGCAATGGTGAAGAGTAGTTGAAAAGCTCGACCAATATGGATTCAATATTGACAAATCAAGATGGTCTGGAAAAGAACTATTTTGGAGAGGCACAAAGCCATTGAATGTACACCTACTTCGTTGTTTGTCTGCATCAGCTGCTATCAAAGATATGGACAATGAAGTACTCATTGTAGATAAAGGACAAGCAGGATGTACAAAGTCATTCTTTGGCACTGGGTGTGAAGAACGTGGTGAGCAAGATGCTGGAGTTATATGTGAAACTGGCGGTGTTTGGAACCTTTAGAACTTGTTAATAGCGTATGTGTTAGCAAAAAATCTGGTCTGGGCCAAATCGACAGGGGTGATTCGACAGAGAAGCCAAACTTTTCCAAACAACAACAAATCAAGCAATTGTGGTCTGAACGTTCTATGCCTTGACAGATTCAAGGACTTCTTTGAAGGCTGTAATGCGAAGAAACAAGAAGGAATAAACTGAAAATCAAGTGTTGAACAAACAAACATGGAATTTAATCAGTAAGATTAAATTTTCAATTCAATGCACATGACAATCGACAGAGAATTCTTAGTTACAGAAACTGAACTATAGATAGACTACTCCTAAGTAAGAACTAACTAAGTTAAGTTACTCCTAATGCTATAAGGGTTGTAAATTTGTTCGAAGATCTTTCTAACTTTGAATTCCCAGCTTTTATATTGCTGGCTTCAAACTCCACTGCTGCTCCGCTGCCACGTTTCCCATCATATAGCCAGCTACTTTCACTTCAATGCCCATGATCTTTGCAACTGCCAGTAACTACTTCTCTGTTGCAGCTTTTCTCCTTCTAGGAAACATGACGCGTATCATGTATGCCTTACATGCTAACTTTATGGCTTGACGCCTGGGCCATGTTTGGCCACGTTCCACTTCATTACTAGATGAATTGACAGGAAACCTGCAACTGCCACGTCTATCTCTTTGACTATTTCCTTTCTGTCACTTGCTTTGTATTCTAGGCTTCATATTCACTCGCTTTTCACTTGTAAACTTGTGGAAACTCGTAATCTTTAAACCTAGCATCCGCTGGACCAATTCTCTGCATTTGTTACATACAATCGACAGAGAATATACAATTTTTGGTGTCAACAATGCCCCCCTCATTCAAGACAAAAAGGAGTTTTTGCCTTGAATGATTATTTAAAAGAAATAAAGTTGGACATTTAAATATTTGGGCTGTTTATCCATAATTTGTAATAAAGCCCAAATGCTAAAAATTAATCCAACAAAATTTCCCAGAACTTCGAGTAAGCCCACCACAAGCTATTTGAATGCCAGAAATCAAATCATCATTCCACTATTCTCTAACTTTCTCTGCTATTTGCTTCTTCAACCCTCTGACTTCGAAAAACCCTTCTGCTCACACTCTCTAATGGCGCTCAAACGAGGTCAGGTCAAAGGAAAGAAACAAACTGAGTCACCAGCTGTACAACGCTTTCCAATCGATTTTCAGCAACTACTGCGTCAAAACATCTTCAACAGCTGCATTATCCCACACCATGGCAATTCTGCAGAAGGAGAACTGGGCCCTACTTTCAATTTAATCATTCCTGATGAGCTTACCCAGTACTATCCTATTGCAGACACTGAAACATTACTTTTCAACAAAGCAAAGCTGTCATGGAACCATTGGGATTCCAGCCCTAATCCTCTACGCACATGGCAAAGACCTGATCCAGACTGGAAACGATGGGTTCAACGAATGATGATATACGACATTAATCTCTGGAGAGCTTTAGGTATTTACGACGTCATCAGGTTATCAACTTTCTCTCTAGATATGGACAAATGGGTCATTAGTGCTGCTACATGTTTTTAGTCTTCATCATGTAATTCCCTCATTCTAAAATGTGGTATGATGTCACCTACTATTCTTGATGATGTCCATTTGACTGGCCTCCCTTTTTCTAGTCAACATATCAGTGCCCTTTTAACCCCAAAAACACCTATCAAGTTGGGCACTGACCTCAGTTATGGGAAATTTCAAACAAAGTACCAAAAATTTGGCCTTGAACCCACAGATGAGGAAAGAACAGCTTTTTATTTACTATAGCTTTCCCAACATTTTCTTTGTGTTCCTGGTTTGAAAATCACTAAAGAATACCTAGCATTAGCCACTTGCATTCAGGAGGGTACAAAATTGGCTCTTGCCCCTTTTTTAGTAGGCACCTTATACAGAGGTCTCTTTTCTTTAGTGGATAAAGAAATTGATCATAATGGTGGTGGTCCTTTCTGGCTTTTCCAAGCCTAGTTTTATGCTTATTTTCCTGAAATTAGGCATATTACTTCGACTCCATTTCTCCCTACATGCCAAAGCTATGTTGAATTTTTTCTTTCCTTTAGACCAGCCACCTTTAATTCTTTCACTAAGGTGTTCGCTTTTCTGTATGAACTACCTATCGACAGAGATCCTCAGCTTTTCATCCATTTTCACCAACTTCACTGCACTTCATCTAGACTCACGTATGTCCATGATGATCCTTCTGTATTGGGTGATGAGTTAAGACAACAACAAAAACATTTTTGGGCTCAAATCCTTACTCCAAGATACATTTTAGTGGGAGGCCCTTTCAACTAACAGAATTTCTAACTGTAGTTTTGAAAGCTATAACCCCTGTCAATGGGCTAGGCAAATGGGCCTCTATCAAACTGTTCCTTGCCCATATTTTCATCCCACTATTCATGAGCAAGTTGGAGCTAGAATTCAATTCAAAAATCAAACAGATATGGAGGCCCTTCTAGCCCACAATCAACAACTATTTGATCAATTCAGCTTCTACTACTACAAAGTCACACCCTTTTCTCTCTACAAGATTCAGAGACTGGTGGCTTCTTATGAGTGCAGTAATCTTTAATAAAGAAGCTTAAATATGCCTATGGAATGTGCATCCTGACAATAAAAAATGAGTGACCATGAGCATTGGTAAACAGCTATCTTCTTCTTACTTTATATTTCTTGTTTAAAATTTCTCGTTTGGGTGTATAACAGGATATATCTTTTCTATATATATGCAGCTGAGTCCCCAGTCAAAGCCATTCCTTGGCTATAGAAATGCCTACTCCCACTATCCAGAAAAAAAAGCATAAGGGTAATCCCTTAAACACCACTAATGTTGAAGGTTTCACACCTTACAACCCAGGTGTGGAGACTGAACAAAGGGTTCAGATTAGAGAAGAAGAACTTCAAAAATTCTTTGCATCTCAATCACAACCAGAAGGTGGTATTTCTTAACCAACATCGGAAAGTGGTGCAACACGTGAGAGGAGATCTAAAAGAAGACAAGAGGAACCAGTTCCTCCACCATCTTCGACTGCACCAGCTTCTTCCTCTTCCAGTAGTGCAGCACTTGTAAGGAGACCTAAAAGAAAGCAAGAACAACCAGCTCCTTCACAAGCTCCTGTTGCACCAGCTTCTTCTTCTAGTAGTTCATCTTCTCGTCCCATAATGGTATAAATCTTACTCAATCTGTCAATTTTGTCATCATTTTAAACATAATGACATTCTATTTTGCTTGTCTAACATTTTTCTTTCTCTTTCAGATATATCTTAAGTCATACAAAAAGAGAAGACTTGTTTCTTTGGGCACATCTTCTTCTCATGAAGATATACCTGAAACTCATACCAACCTATCTCCTCCTCTTCTTGAGAATGAAGAACTAGCTGAGGCACAAGTTAGTCCTCCTGAAAGCCAAATTGAATTGCCAAAGTCTCAACCAAACCCCCTTGAGAGAGAACAAATTGATCAAAGGAGAGCCATTTTAAGAAACTTGGCTCCTGAACTGGCTCAAATTTTGTCTGAAATTCCCCAAAAAGTGGCTTTAGGAGTCCTAATGGCCTTCCCTTTTAGAGGGGTGCCATATGGAACTGATGAAGTCATCACTTTTCCTAGTGTGGCCTCTTCTCCAGAAGAATCAGCAATTCCTGAACATGCTCAAGAAGATCCAGTTAATTCAGACCATGTCAGAGAAGCTCCAATTGACTTACCCACTAATTCTGATAGCCGCACATCTCTTATCGACAGAGGTTCTCCTGTCCATGAGCATGTTTTTGAGCCAGATGACAACCTTTTAAATGAAGTTGACAGAGCTGACACTAAGGTTTTAGATGATGAATCAACCTCAAGTGTTATGAGAGTTCCTCAACCAACTATCATCACGTCCATTACTCAGTCATTTCCAATACAGGTAACATTTTCTCACCCATACACCTTATTCTTATTTATATATATGTATACGGTTTAAAAATAATCCCCTTTCATTCTCTTATGCAAGACTGAGATTTCTTTTCAAACATCATTGACTGCTGACATGGGGGTGCAGAATACACTAGCTCAAATTCCCTCAAGAGAGATCTTGGGTACTTCTACCTCACCTCATATTGCCACAGAGGTAATAATCTCTCATATCATTTTCCATATTCATTGTTTTTCATTTGTTAACTTTATTTTTTTATAACTACAACCTGCAGTTATCTCCTCTTCTTCCATTCAAGATTTACTTTTGGAAATTTCTGTTGTTCAAGAAACGGTTGCTAATTTGACTGTTGAAGAAAAATTGAAGAAATTATCCAATGAAGAGCAAGAACTTATTGAACAATTTTTTAATTTACTTGGTCAACCACTGGATGTCTTGGCTCTCTCTCAAACTACAATTTTGACTGACTGTTTGGGAGCCATTGCACCACTGATGCCTCAACTTTTTGATCCAGACCAAGTGCAAATCTTTCAAACCTTCATTTCAGAGCTTCCTCAGCATTTAATGGCTATCAATCAATTTCATATTGAGCCAAAAATTGTTGAGAATCAAGCTGAGCAAGTGAGGGAAGCAGTGCATGCTTTAATTGAAGCATCTGCTAGATCACAATCCCTCATTGCTCAATTTAACTCTCTTACAGCAGAAGAAGCTTAGCTAGAAACTCAACTGGCCCACGTGAGAGCCCAGAAAGCTGCCATCGAACAAGAGCAAGCCAACCTTTCTCAGCAAATTCCAAACCTTCTTGCTCAAGCAAAAAGTGGTTCACTAGCTTTCAAGCAAGCCCAAACCAAACTTAGGCAAAATAAGCTAAAGCATCAAACTGCTCTTCATGCTTGGAGCAGACGCTCAATGTATTTCCAAAGGGATTAGGCCAAATTTAAAAAAAAAAATTCATTATTTGTCTTTCTGTACTTTTGACACAAGTTTAATGAAAATACTTATTACATTTGTTTTGGCTTTATTCTTTCTGTCATATATCTTTGTTTTCATGTGTATGAACTCACGCATTCCCACATGGTTGGATAATACTTCTTTAAATACTTGCCATTAATTATCCTTCTGTGTGGCTCACCTTCTAAAAAAGCAAGATGATAGGCTCCTCCTCTAAGAACCTTATGTATTTTAAATGGTCCTTCCCAATTTGGAGACCATTTACCATATTCTAGGCTTTTAAATCTAACTAGTAAAATGGTTTTCCACACTAATTCTCCTTCAGAAAATAATTTACTCTTAACTTTCTTGTTATAACTTCTCTCAACTTTTTTTTTTCTGAGCCACCAAATAATTAAAAGCCACAATTCTTTTTCCTTCTAAATCTTACAACTCAATCGATAGTGCCTCTGAATATTCATCCATAGGAATATCCAAATGCTTGGCCAGTCGATTGGATCTCACTGTCACTTCCAAAGGTAATACAGCATCATGCCCATAAACCAACTCATATGGAGTTGTACCTGTACTATTCCTTTTGAAATTTCTATAAGCCCAAAGCACTTCTGACGAGATTATGCTAATCTTTAGGATTGTCTTCAATCATTTTCTTTAAAGTATTTTTGACAATCTTGTTTGTTGCCTTGGCTTGTCTATTTGCCTAGGCATAATATGGTGAAGAGTTTAATTTTTGAATGTCGTATTCTTTGGTAAACTCTTTAATCTCATCCCCATTGAACACTGTACCTTGATCAACAGTGATAAATCGGGGTAAAGCAAACCTATGTATCAAATTCTTTTTCAAGAACTCAATAACTTGGACCTATGTCACCACTTTTAAAGGTATTGCCTCTATCTGTTTAGTAAAATAGTCAGTGGCTACCAATAAGTAAGAATGTGCTTTAGAAGATGCTGGGAAAATTTGCCCAATTAAATCCATTGCCCATTCTCTAAAAGGTCAAGGTTTAACCACTGAATGCAGGCTGGTAGCTAGTATCCTTTGAATATTGCCATGCTTCTGGCAACTCTGACATCCTTTTGCATACATTATGCAATCTTTTCTAATGGATGGCCAAAAATAACCATACTTGTTAATCAGCCATCTCATTTTATCACTAGCTTGATAGGCCCCACAAATTCCTTCATGTGCTTTAGCCATAGCTTTCATTTGGTCTAATTTACCAATACAAAGCAGACTCAAACCATCATGAGCCTTCCTGAGCAAATCATCTCCCATGACAACATAGTTTAAGGCTTGAAACCTCACTTGCCTATTGCTTTTTTTACTGGGATTCGATAGGTACTTTATTAAAGGGAATCTCCAATCTTCTTCTGTGACATCCAAAGTGAGAATAGGTAGGAAATTCCTACACCTATTTTTAAGTGCAGAAAAGTTTCTTTTCTGAATTCGAATCACCCTTTCCTGAGCTCCTTTAGGTACTTTTAGTCCAGAAGCTGCTTGAGCCATCTCATTAGCCTTTTTGTTCTCCAGTCTAAACCTATGTGTGAATGTGATATGGTCAAAGAAACTAGTTAACCATTTGACCTCAGTTAAATACTCTTCTAAAGCACCACTGACACATTTGAACTCTCCCAAAACTTGTTTAATGACTAACTGGGAATCTCCAAAAACCTGGAGGCTTCTAATCTTGAATTCTATGGCCAATTATAAACCAATTATCAAGGCTTCATATTCAGCTTGATTACAAGACTGTACATGTTGTGCTTCCAACTGATATGCAAACTAATACATTTGCTTATTTGGTGCAATCAACACAATACCTACTCCAATTCCTTCATCTGTTTTTGAACCATCAAACATCAATTTCCATGGTTTACTTTCCACCAAATTGATCTCATATAGGTCTAAATCGACAGCAATGCCTGGTTGTTCCATCAAGAAATCAGTCAAAGCTTGCCCCTTAACTGCTTTCTGTGGCACATATTTGAGACAATACTCAATTAATGCTAATATCCATTTGCCCTGTCTCCCCCTTAAAATTGGTTTAGACAACATACATTTAATAACATCTGTTTGTGCTATTACAAACACTTCTATTGGCAGCAAATAATGCCTCAATTTAATGGCTGCAAAATAAAGTGCCAAACACAATTTCTCAACAGAATTATATCTAGTTTCAGCATCATTTAACCTTCTACTTAGGTAGTTGGTGGCTTGTTCATGACCCATATCATTTTCTTGAGCCAACAAACAACCAATCGACAAGTCAAAAGCTGATATATACAATTTCAAAGGCTTTCCTGCCACTGGTAGCATAAGCACTGGAGGATTTGTCAAGTATTTTTTGAGCAAGTCAAAAGCTTCTTGATGGCACACTTCCCATTTAAACTCATGGTCTGACTTAATTTTCACTAAAGGAGAGAATGCTAAAGTTTTTCTGGCCAAATTAGCTATGAATTTCCTCAAAAAATTTACTTTTCCACGAAAATTTTGCAACTTTTTCTTGTTGGCTGGAGGTCTTGCCCCTAAAATGACTTTGGCTTTATTAGCATACACTTCTATTCCTTTGTGATGTACTAAAAGCCTAAGAAATTTCCAGCAGATACCCCAAATGCACACTTTAAAGGGTTCATTTTGAGTTTGTATGTCCTCATTCTTTGAAATGTCTGCTGCAAATGTTCTAGATGCTTATCAAAACTGTCAGATTTGATTGCTACATCATCTATTTAAACTTCTAAATATTTTCCAATCAAATCATGAAAAATGAAGTTCATTGCCCTTTGATAAGTTGCTCCTGCATTCTTCAATCCAAAATGCATGACTACCCATTCAAATGTCCCTAAGGCACCAGGACATCTAAATACTGTCTTATGTGTAGCCTTTATGTTAATAATCAACTAATAGATCAGCCACTGGCATAGGATATTCATCTTTACGAGTTGCTAGATTCAAATTTCTAAAATCTATATGTACTCTTAACTTACCATTTTTCTTCATTACAGGGATAACATTAGACAGCCATTCAAGATACCTGGCTATTCTAATAAAACCTGCATTGAGCAACCTCTCGATCTCTTCCTTGACTAATAAGGTGACTTCATTAGTCATCATTCTTGGGGATTGTTTATTAGGAATAAAATTTCCTTTAATCGGGAGTCTATGCTCCACCAATGTTCTATTTAATCCAGGCATTTCTTCATAAGTCCATGCAAAGCAATCCACATACTTAGAAAGCAAACTAACTAGTTTGGTCTTATATTCATTAGATAGATTAGCATTTACATAGATGGGCCTCTTACAGGCCTTACTTCCTAAGTTATATTCCTCTAAAGAGTCCTGCACATCTGCCTTGAGATCATCAAGTTTGGCAGGAGCTGCCTTCAGATGTTTCAGTTGCACCTCTTTATAACTCAGAGGGCTACTGTCGATTACACATTCCGCCCAAGAACAATTAAGCAAACACTTAGGGCTAAACTTACTTTCTAAAAATAAATAAAAAAGCCTAGAAAAAGTAGATCTAATTGCATCGGCTGTCTCATCCAGCTTGTCTTCTTCTGTTACTTGCACTTGCATCACCCCTCATCTTCAGCAATTTCCTCTATCACAAGCCTCTTCTGCTTTTGCATCAGGCTTGGTTTGGCCAATTTCTGGCCTATCTGCTTAAAGCCTTCCTCAATGAAAGCCTTGAACTCTTCAGTTGTTAAGCCTTTTCCTTGCGATTTGACTTCTTCTTTATCAATCACAACTGGGCCCAAATCCTCATCATACAGCATAGCATCTATGTTGTTGACATCATCAACAAAAGGATTTGCATCAACTCAAAAGATTTTCATTCCTTTTTTATTTTGACCACCACCAGTTAGAAAAATTAATGCTTGTTGTAGAGACGAAGGTACACACCCATTAAGGTGAATCCAATCCCTACCTAGGAGTACATTGTAATTAGAAGTGGAGTCTATTACAAAGAAAGTTGTTCCCATTAATCTGGAACCAACTTGAAGCTGTAAAGCTACTACTCCTCTAGCCTCAAATGATCCACCAGAAAAATTACTTATATTTACCTCAGTAGGAAGTAAGTCATCGACAGACTTACCAATAGCCTTCAGTGTCCTAGATGGGAGAATGTTGACAATAGCCCCATTGTCTACCAATACCTTTTCCAATAGTACTCCATCCAAAAAAGCTTTAACATAGAGGCCTCAAATGCTTCATAAGCTTATCTTCTGGTTTTTGAAGTACAACTTTCTCTCCATCGACAGACTTAATGACCTCGATTGGTCTTAATGGCTTGGCCTGTGTCTCAACTATTGCTATCTGAACAACTGGTTCTGTCAAATCTTCAACATCACCTGCCAAGTTATATGGCTGGTTTGGTTTGGCCTGAAACCTCTGTGGGATGGCCATAATCATGTTGCACTCATTGGAAGGGGGCAAAGAACCAAAATGAATGGCAGCCAACTTTTCTCCAAAGTCACCACCAAAACTGTCTGATTTCACTTCGTCTTCTTCAACCCCTTCATTAACATTCTTGTTATCAATGACCATCTCCTGATCTTGATCATCTTTCATTGCCACATCTCTTTTGTTATTGTTATCTTCTTCATCAGACATCAGATCTTTCTCTAACTGTTTCAGCTTTTGCCTTAACAAAGCCTTCTCTGAAAGCTTACCCACAGGTCTATGTTCAGTCTCTTCTAGTCCCATTTTCCTTTTCAAAATCTGAATTGGTTGCACTAGATAGGTCTTAGAAGTTGAACCTTTCATTTCTTTTCCTTTTGCAGCTAGAACCAATCCTTCCCTAGTTTACACTAAGTCTTGTCTTCCGGATGGTTTATCCCCTGCAGCAGTGGACATCATAGCATGAAACGTTCTTTGTTCTCTCCTTTTCTGAGTTCTTGTTTCTCCCATTGGTCTCCAACCACTCATGGGAAACTTTGGATGTGACACTCCTTGCCATCCCAAATGGGATGGTATTGGAGGTTTCACCATTCTTGGCTAAACTAGTTGCATTTCTGGCCTCACTCTTGGGCCATGATGCTGCTGCTGATATCCTCCAGATGGTCTTGTGAATTGTTTGATGGCCACTATGTGATGCACCAAATTGCTGCTGCTGGCCACTATATGGCCTAGTCAAAACCTTTGGGTTTCCATAAGGCTTAAAACCCTTATGTTAATTGAGCATAGCCCTCACATTACTAGCTCCAACCAAGCATGGATGAACAGGTGCTCCCTGGAATAAGAATGGAGCATCATCCTTACCATAGTTCTCTACAGGTCCAAAAATTCCAGGACCTGTTCCATCATAGAACAAACAATCGCTATAAAAAATTTGTAAATCTCCACTTCCCATAGTATTAAACCTCAGGCCAACATCTTTTCCAATTTGTTGAATGCCATTAATCACAATGGCCTTAGTTTTTTCTTTCTCAAAATCACATCTGAAACAGATGAAACCCTCACTTGGTTCCTTTTGAACTCTTTTTCCTTTCGCTTCTTTTGCTATTTTCTCCAGCCTTTCCTTGTGAAGTTTTTCTAACTCCACCAACAAAACTCTAGGATTTTTCCCTTTTTTCTTCTGATCATTAGCCACCATATTGATTTCCACCATACTAGGAAATGGATCACTGTCAACTACCATTACTCCTTTATCTTTTTCGGCATATTTCAACATCCTTTTCTGAATTAAATCCTGCACACAATTGCGAAATGTAACACAATTATTAGTAAAATGTCTGAAAGAATTAAGCCATTTGCAATATTCCTTGCCAACTCTGTCCCTTTCTTTAGGAATGTTGTGGCCTCGAGTTAAAGTTAAAAACTTATTTGTTAATAACTCATCAAATAATGCATCTGCTTTAGACAAATCAAAAGAATATTTTCTGTGTTATAGCCACATTCTTTTTGGCTGGTTGTGTTGCTGGCATGCTTATAGGTTGGTCTGTCTTTCCTAATGAGGATTTGCCTCAGCCCAGAAGATTTCCAGTCCTTTTTTATTCTGATCACCACTAGTTAGAAAAATTAATGCTTGGTGTAGAGACGAAGGTACATACCCATTAAGGTGAATCCAATCCTTACCTAGGAGCACATTGTAATTAGAAGTGGAGTCTATTACAAAGAAAGTTGTTCCCATTAATCTAGAACCAACTTAAAGCTGTCTGTTGGCAGCAAATAATGTCTCAATTTAATGGCTGCAAAATAAAGTGCCAAACACAATTTCTTAACAGAATTATATCTAGTTTCATCATCATTTAACCTTGTACTTAGGTAGTAAATGGCTTGTTCATGACCCATATCATTTTCTTGAGCTAATAAACAACCAATCGACAGGCCAGAAGCTGATATATATAATTTCAAAGGCTTTCCTGCCACTGGTGGCATAAGCACTGGAGGGTTTGTCAAGTATTTTTTGAGCAAGTCAAAAGCTTCTTGATGGC